GGGACAAGAAAGGTAAAAATTAGTCAAAGAACAAAAGAAATTTTGATTTTCAACATATACATAATATGTTGTTTTCGGGAAGACAAATTTTTCAACACAAAGCAAATTCTGTGGTCTCAGGTGTTTCAGAAGCGGTTTGACGGGTCGGTCAATTTCATTCGCAACTGGACCGAGTACCGGGACGGATTCGGCGATCTGACGGGCGAGTTCTGGCTGGGAAACGAGAAACTTCGTCAGCTGACATCGAAGCATAAATGGTTACTACAGATTGATCTGTCATTTGACGATCAGGTCAACTGGATAAACACTACCAGATACCGATGGCCGTTTCGTGTCGAAGGAGACAACTACACCCTGAGGGTGGAGGGACTAGTCGGTACGATTATTTACAATAATGTCTAACCTTTTTGAGGTAGCAGTGGCACCGGGCTGCACTTTTTTTTTTTTTTGCAAAGGGTCAACCAAAATACTCTCAGCCATTTTCTATCAGGTCCCCGACTAACTCTTACCTATACGTCGTTCTTCCAATTTCAGTTAATCTTTGATTCATATCTGATGACGATCACAGAAAGAAGTCCTACATTTTAATGTACAGGTAATGCCCCCTTGCCATCAAGCCAGACACCACGCCCATTCTCCACCTACGATAAAGACAACGATGGTGAGGACCATCTCAACTGTGCTGCTCTGACGAGAGGAGGTTGGTGGTTTGGCGAGTGCGAGTCTCCGCAGGAATCTTCGAACAATTTGAACGGCGAATATCTCCTTCCTGAGAATTCGACCGACGGGAATTACAGCAGTATGAGATGGGTTGGTGGGGGGAACTTTGCGTTAGCGCGGAGTAGCAAAATGAAACTGCGTCGCTTCCGTCCGTATGGTAAGTCTAGGTATGCTAAATAACGATACAAAAGCAATCAGATCCCTTTTAGAATATACTTGTTTTCTCACGGGTCTTAAATGTCATGTATGTTCGTCTTACAATACCAATCCTTTAAAATATCAAGTAAATGAAGCTTCTTTTTCGTACCGATATTGACCAAACTGCGAAGGGGTCGCCTCGTTTTATGTGGGGGGGGGGTATAACGCACAATTTGAGTTTCTCCATTCTACTCCACT